CTGGAGCGCTCCCCATTGGCACTGTGTGAACGCGGCTTAATTTGAATTCTGCCATTGCGGTGGTGCACCGCTTGGCGGTGGAGCGCCTTCGGCCGTGGTCGTGCGATTCAATCGCGCAATTTGAACCATCGATTCGATCGCGAAGTGTGAACGCGGTCTAATTGTTTCAATATGGAAGTGTTACAGTATGGCGAATAAATTAACTAGAAAATAGTAGCCATTTCGCGGGCTTCACCACAACCCTGACAAGTTTTCCACGTTGACTGTCCAATCGCCGAGTGCACATAGAAACCAAACTGATATGGTTTTGTCGTTACTGGAGTGGAGCCTACCCATTCCCCAACCAGGATCGCAAAGGGAACAAAGAAAAAACGAATGAATATTGCTGGGGAAAACACTTCTTTCACACCACTTTCTTTCGGCTAGCAAATTCCGTAACAAACGTACCTCTTTGAAAGCATGCACAGCTTGCTGGAGATCATATTTTTCTAACAGTGCGACGAGCTTCTTATCTATTTTCTCCATTTGACTTGTATATTCTTGTGCACTTCGCGATTTATGAACTGATTTTGTATCCATATATACCTTGTCATAGCTATTGAGCTCGCCCTGCAAAAAAACTTCTGGAGTACTGTGCAAATTTGTGAAACGAAGACAAAAGAGAAGAAGATGGCAGTGCCAAAGAGAGCTTTCTCGACCTGATAATTTCCCAGAAAAGGTTCTCTGAGGCGAGCCTCTTCTAACTTCTCCTAAGTTAGTGCATAAGCTTCCGAAATATGCATCTCCTTTCCAGAACTTGTAGCGATATTCTAAAGTGTGGGGCTTCCAGGGCGTTTCAAGATCTCCAACTCGAGACCGATTCACTTTTAGGTCAACCGTTCCAGTCCGACCTACCCAGTACTAGAGTTTCCGTCAGGATCAGAGAATAAAAGGATTAAAAGACTTCTTTCATGATGACTGCTGTTTACGCCGCCGTACGCGCTCCAATAGTTATCACAAGAATTCATAGTTGTGAGCGAAGATCAGACACCGCGACTGTGTCCGATCCAGCATCAACTGTAGTTTTGTACACCTGCAACGGTCGAAGCTGGACCAAGAGTTCCACCTGTACAAGCGTGGTATAAGAGGAGACTGTTTAGTAGACCTTATTAGTACAGCCGTCCAGTGCAGCCTTGTCTGGCAGGTTTTTTTTACAAGAACAGCACCTTTTCCACACTTTTGGTCGGTGAGGGAGAATAGTGTAGAAAAAGGCACTACAAGGAATGGAATACGGATACGAAAGAAGTGGTGCCCATACTGAGCAGCAGAGTACTTGCAATAGCACTTACGTATCATGAGGTCATGGAAATATCGTGAGTCAACAGGGATTAGGCGAGAGCAGAGTGCATTATGTCGGCTCGGGTTCCTTGTCAAGCAGCGTTACCGACTAAATTCTGACAGAAAAACCATGAGAGGAATCGAAAAGGCTGATTGATTCAAATGTGACAGCGACAAAATGAAGCATGTGTGCAATTGAAGCAAGCGCTCCAGATGATGTATTCACCTGGATCGCGTTAAACCATCTGAAAAACATGTGTCATGAAAAAAGGGAGAGGAATTTGAGGAAAAGGAGAAAGAGATATTTCTCAGTCTTTGCAGCACTGCACAACACGAATTCCTTCGAAAAGGTCTTGCTTGGTCGCGAGCATCTTTGCGGCTTGGAAGACTAGAAGAATCGACGATTCGACGTTCTCGGAGAATGCGCACCAAAGGAGTTGAAAGGAATCGGTCGAATGCGATCGCCAACTCGTCTTCTACCGATTTGCCGATTCTCCTACCATCTCAGGATACCGGTGCGGAGCCTCCCCACCCCTTCCTTTTTCACTCCCTCCTTCTTTCCTTTCCTCTTATGTCTGCTTTTCTTCGCTTCAGAAGCTCGGACTGAAGATGAGAAAGTACCGCTAGACCTTTGCAGAGAGAAATCGTTCGGTTGACAGGTCGTCCGATCTGTACTTATAGTTTCTTTTGTGGGCGTTCTCCGAAAATATCACATCACCGATTCTTCTTCCCCTCAGGCTTCCCCTCAGGC